AATTATATTCTAAATTATATTATAAATTCTTTTATATCTAACTCTAATTAAAATTATGATTTTTAGAACCCAAACAAAGGACACATTCAACACCTGCTCAGAGAAATACAAAAAAATGATTACCGTCCGTCTTTCTCAACAGATCAAGATTGTCTAATGAAATGAATATATCAGTGTTAAAGGTATAGAAAACATTATTCAATCTCTTCATGATATTTAAAAATGTCATTAGTATGAAATATCCCTCTAATTCTATTGTCTGCGTCTATAAGACATAACTGTTTTGTCCATTTTGATTTTCGATTCTGTATGGACCTTTAAACATTGGTTGTAATTTCTTACAACGGTTTTCTCTCAAATTACCTTGTCTAAGTGAACGAATTAAAACTGTTTCTCCTTTTTTAAATGTGATTGGTTTTTTAATTGTTCGATTTTGTCTTCTGATATATTTTTCAGCTTTCCTTTGAATTCTCCTGTTTACTCTCTGCATTACTTGTTCCAACATTTCTTGGTTATATTCGCTTGAGGATGTCTGATACTTGTAAAATGAATGTTGATCCCCTTTTTCTCACAAAATGCTTGAAATTTTTGGTTGTTAAAATATGTAGCGTTATCTATTATGCAATTTTTAAATGGTAGTATTTCTTCGAAAAACTGAATAATATATAATTTCAATGCTTTAACATTTGTTCTTGAACATGGATATAGTTTAATAAATTTTGTGTATAAATCACTAGTATATGTTTTTTTCCTGTTGGAGTGGGAACTAAATTTGAGATGAAATCCATGGCAACTGTATTTAGTTTTTCATATGCAACATTTGATTTATATGTGTCCTGGTTTTTGAAATTTTTTTCTTTGTTTATTTGACATATTTGGCATTGAGTACTATTTTCTTTTTCTATACTTATATCATTATTTGCAAAATAATTAACCCTAAATATCATCCATAGTTTTCTTGAACCAATATGCATGTAACTTTTATGTAAATCTTTTAATATCTTCCTTGCCAAACTTCTACTCACTACATATACTTCTAAGCTATTAATTATCTTATAGTACACCGCATCCTTTTTAAGGACTTTTTGTTTTTCACTCAAATTGATCTAATCTCTTATGATTTCTTCTTTAGAATATAATCCAGTGTTTTCTACTAACTGATTTAATCCAATTTTTATTGTTCGCTGCCCTTTTGTGATGTATCCTCTAACCTTGACAAAGCATCTGCCACTATGTTGGATTTTCCAGAAATGTATTTAATTTCAAAATTGTATTCACTCAGTATTAGGTGTACTCCAACGGTGTACTCGACTGTTTCCATATTTGTTATTTAATATAGATGTTAAAGCTTAGTGATCTGTTTCTATAGTAAATTCATTACCCAACAAATAAAATCTTAATTTTGTGACACAGTGTATAATACTTGCTAGTTCTAGTTCTGATACTGAATAACCTTTCTCATATGGGTTTGTAATTCTTGAGATGAATTGTATCGGGTATTCAACCCCATAATGTATTTGTAGTAATACCCCTGATAATCTCTCTATTAAAGCATCTGTTCTTAATATAAATAGCTTTGTGTAGTCATGATGGTATATTTTTAAATTTGATAGAAAAATGTTTTTGATTTCTTGGAATGCTAGTTCTCTTCGTTGATCCCATTTCCATTTTACACCTTTTCTTAACAGTTCAAGTAATGGAATTTCGTTTATACTTAGATCTGGGATCATCCTTTTATAATAATTAATTGTTCCAATAACTCCTCTTAAAGTTCTTAAATTCTGTGGTGTTTTATATTCCTGAATAGCCTGTGTTCGTTCTGGATCCATTTCAATTCCCTTAGTATTTAGTTTATAACCTACATATAATACATCTTTTTGAAAAAATGTTCATTTTTCTTGATTTATTTTTAGTCCAACTGTGTCTAATATTTGCATTATTATTTTTAGGTGTTTTTCATGCTCTTCAGCCGCTTTAGAAAAAATTAATATATCATCAATGTAGTGAATTACAAATTATTCATATTGATCCAAAATATCATAAACACATCTACAAAGAGCACTGCAAGATGATTGAAGTCCAAATGGTACTACTTGGAATTGATATACTACTCCATCTATCTGAAATCTTGTATACTGTCTACTTTTCCTTTCTAGAGGTATTAACCAAAAACTATTCTGTAAATCGATTTTAGTGAAAAATGACATTCCTGTAATTCTTTCTAGTATTTCATCTATACTCATTGGTGCTTCAAATTGCTTTTCAGTGATCTTGTTAATATTCCTTGCATCCAAACATAGCCTAATTTCACCTGATCTTTTACGTACTACCACTATGGGGTTTATGAAACGTGTATCTGCCTTCTCAATGATTCCATCTTCTAACATATTATTAATTGTTCTGTTTACTTCTTCTCTGTATTTATATGGTATTGGGTATGATTTTGTTTTAAAATCTTTTTCTTCTTTAACTTTTATACTATGGATATAATTTTGTGCAATTCTATTTTCTTTATTGACAAGTCCCTTGTGTTGCTGCAATATAGAAACGACTATTGATTTATATTCTTCAGGGCAACTTAAAACTTTTATTATATCTTCTTCTTTACAAATAAAATTATTTTTCATTATGTAATCAGTATTCCTTGCTTCCAATTTTACGCACTCCACCTCGTAGGCATCCATCTGCTTAAAATTTCCATTCCTTAAATATTCACTACAATTATTCTTTACATTCTTTTGAGACATCTCCCTATCATCAAAATACATTTCTTCTTCATAAACATCATTACTTTCTTTTAATAATATCCTATCAATTCTTATTTCTTCTTCCACCCCATCTTTATGCATAAACTTAATTATTTGCCCTTCCAAAGTTACAACTTTTTCTTCAAAATCTATCTTCACTTTCTTCTTTTCCAATTCATCATTTCCCATTAATATATCGACACATAAATCCTTGACAACAAATCCTTGCATATTAATTTCTTTATTAATAATATTAATTTTAAAAGTGGCCAGTTTATCAATTTCACCCAACTTCTTGTTATTTGCACCAACAATTTAAATTTTTGGAATCTTTATTATATCTGATAGTTTTAATGTATTAAAAATAAAATTTTCCGAGACTAAAGTACTTTCTGAACCAGTATCTATCATAACCTTAATCATTTTATTTTTGGCCATAGCATTTATATAAATTAAATTAATAGATTCAATAATTTTATCTTTATCTAAAGAAATAAATTCAGAAGGTTTTTCATAATGACAGTGGCCCAACTTGTAATTCAGAAAGTTTACTGCACACAATTTGGATTGTTAGGATTGTCAGATTGTGTCTGACCCCTTGGATCTAATGCTCTGTGTCTTTCGGACAGTAATACACCCGACAAATGGCACAATGCTGAGGTAATTCTATTGTACAAAAAAGGAGATCCCCATGAATTAGAAAACTACAGGCCTATAAGTCTTCTTAGTTACCTATAAAAACTCTTTACAAGAATAGTAACGACTCGTCTTGAGAAAAAACTTGATTTCTACCAGCCATTAGAGCAAGCGCGATTTCGTACCGGATTTGGAACAAATGATCACCTACAAAGCATTAAAACGCTAATAGAAAAGGCTGTCGAATACAATCGACCACTCGTTCTGGCTTTTGTTGATTTCCATAAAGCCTTTGACAGGGTAGAATTTGACAAAATCCTGAAAGCACTACAAGCATGTTACATTGACTACCGATATACAAGGTTAATTTACAATACATACAAAAACGCAACTGTGTCGGTGAAACTAAATAAAAAGACGGATCACATCCCAATCGGCAGAGTAGTCCGACAGGGTGATACCTTATCGCCTAAACTGTTTACTGCAGTACTAGAATATGCTTGTAAAAAACTTAACTGGGAAGAGAAAGGCCTGAACATTGACGGTAGAAGATTAACAAATTTGTAATTTGCAGACGACATAGTTTTGTTCTAGGACAACCTCAAGGAGATATGTACATTGCTACATGAACTTCAGTTAGTGTGTACCAGTGTGGGTCTTAAAATAAACATCTCCAAAACAAAATTCATGACAAAACTAGTACCTAGCGGAAATATCAAAATTGGAGACAACGAAGTAGAGCTGGTGGAAAAATACATATATCTTGGACACGAAATAGAGATCACAAGAGACAAATAAACATGCGGACTACGAAGAAAAATAAACCTAGCATAGGTAGCCTATGGAAGACATCTTTAAAAGAGATATACCAATTTCTTTAAAACGTAAAATATTTGACCAATGTGTGTTGCCTGTGATGACCTATGGTGCCGAAACTTTGAGATTGACAGCTACAAGTTCTAAAACGCTGCAAATAGCTCAGAGGGAAATGGAAAGATCAATGCTGAGTATATCGCTTCGTGACCGAGTTAGAAATGAAGACTTAAGACGAAGAACAGGAGTTACCGATGTAATTTCTCGAATTGCGACACTGAAATGGAACTGGGCCGGACACGTCGCCCGAATCAGTGATGAAAGGTGGATAAAGAGATTGCTTGAGTGGTGGCCGAGGTGAGACATAAGAAGTAAAGGAAGACGATGGACTGACGATCTCAAGAACATGTCAAGAAATTGGATGAAAAGTGCTCAAGACAGAGCACAATGGACAAAAAGGGAGGCCTATGTCCAGCAGTGAACGCAAAGGGCTGGGTGATGATGATGATGAGGGAATAAAATCTGAGATGCTAAATAATCGCACAAGTAATTGAAATACTAAGACAAAGTACTACTCCATAGTCCATATTAAAGTGACTGTCTAATTAAGTAGAGAGTTACAGAAAAAATTGTTATGCAACTATAAAGATTACATAAACTTATTTGCGAATTACACCAAATCGTTAAAAGTGGTAATTGTCAGTTTTTTACACAATAATTAAGTAAATTTAAAATATATAAGGTACATAATAAAAACTACATTTTGTTAAATCATTTAAAATACAAAAATACGAGAATTCTTACCAGTCATCTTTGCAGTTAATCACTTTATTATAAATTGCAGAGATCATAAATAATGTTGCATATTATACTACATTGAAATTAAGAAAAAATAATGCGATAACTATTTTATCAGCAGCGACATAAATTCACTGCATATACCAAGTGACTTAGTAACAATTTTATAGAAATAATTTAAATAAAAAACATCGTTAAACATCTTTAAATGTTGATGTGGCTTATTTTGTTTGTATATTACTTTTTCGGGTTTTGCTTCGTAATAAAATGAAATACTTCCGGTAAAAAACGTGAAAATTCAGTTTCTTAAAGCAATACAGTTACTGTAGTGGATCTGTAGTATCACCAGCCGTAGAATGTGTAAAATTCTATTCGTTTCTTCTTCTCTTCTTTAAAGCTGTCGTTTTCTTTAAAACAAATTATTTTGGTAAAATAATTACAAAAACTCTGATATACTGTAATCTGAAAGTGTAACTACCTATTTTGGTCTTGTACATTGCTTAAGTTTAAATAGGTACTGTAATGTGATTTTTAAGCCCCATATTACAATCGTGTTTTTCTGCGATCTTGTGTTTTTTCTTCACGTCAACAAATTTAAACGAAAATAAAATGTCTTGATGTGCGAACTGTAAAGAGAATGGGAAGTAAATATATGGAAGTGATTTGCAATATGCGTAGTACTACTGATGACAAAGTTAATTAAAATAATTTCTCTAAAAATTTTGTAATACAGTTCTTTGATTTACAGTTCCCTAATATTTTCAGAAATTTAAATATTTTTCTGATTGCTTGGGATAACTTGATTATTTACATAATGATTCCATTATGTAAATGGAGCAATAATACATGTTGGGTAATTTTATCGTCACTAGTTTTATATAAAATAAGGCTTCCGATGTTTAATCTTTCAAATTTTAAGTTTCTTGCACTCTTGAATTGGTTAATTGGTTAATTTGATCTTGGTTAATTAAAGTTGTCCATGACCTAAGTAGAATATTGGATTTTTTTATTTAGCTTTACGTGTCTCGACAGCGTAGTTTACTGCGCCCTATATAACTATAGCCCTATAGCACCTTGTTAGAAAGGAATTTTAGTCCGCTGTTCAGTAATATTAAGCTTTTTAAGTTTGGTGCAATAATAACCTAGAAAATTGATTTTTAAAATGTAAAACTTTGATAATGTCTTTACCACCAAACTTTAGGTTGAATGAAGATAATAATGTCACATAATATTTAGAATATATTTTTCAATGCACTTTACAATTAAATTAAATGTTCAAAATTACCACTATTCACTTTTTGATAATACCCAAGGCGATTTTGGAATTCTCGTACAACATTTTTTACGACTCCGGGAGTTATTTTATTAATTTCTTCCGTTATCCCAACTTTTTAATCAGCAATATTGTTTGGTCTAGTAAATTATACTTTAGATTTTAAATAACCCCATAAGAAGTAATCGAGAGGAGTCAAATCTGGGGTTCTAGCCGGTTATTCTATTGTTCAACGTCTTCCAATCCACCTATTGGGAAAAACCTCGTTTAAATAATTTCTAATTATAAGTGAAAAATGCGGTAGAGCTCCACCTTGTTGGTAGTAAAAAGGTCCATTTATCTAATTTGGACGATTAATATTAGGAAAAAATCTTCTTCTAAAAAATGTAGGCACTAAAAAGTTAGTCAAAAAATCTAGATAAACCTCATCATCAACTGCGCCCTCAAAAAAATAAGGACCAATAATTTTATTGTTAATAATATCAGCCCAATCGTTAATTTTTTAGGATATTGCGTGTGAGTCTCACACACTCAGTGAGGATTTTCTCTGCTCCAATATCTACAGTTCTGTTTGTTAACCGTTCCGTTTAAATGAAACGTCGCTTAATCAGAAAAAACTATTTTGTTTATGAACTGCAAATCTTCGTTCATTCTGTTCATCATCATTTCACAGAATTCTTGCCTTCTATCAGGATCATCTTCATTTAACTCCTGAACCAACTGAACTCTGTAAGGGTGGTATTTTTTTTATGTAAAACTCTCAAAATAAATGACTTACTTACATTATTGATGGCGTCAAGTTTTCGAGTTGTCTTATGCGGATTTTCCTCAATCTCTAGAAGTACATCTAACTTTTTTTCATCAATAAATTTATTATTTATACCTAGTTTTTCAATATTTTGAACATGTCCAGTATAAGGTCCAGTCCGAAAGTTCTTTCCAATTGTGCTAACTATATACTACGAAACTTGTTGACAAGGGTATTCATTATTACCATTTCACAAACCTCCTTTTGAACTCTTGTTTTATTACCACAACAAATCATACTTAAAATGTCTATTCTTTTAGTCTCGGACAAATGAGCCATAATTAAATTTAATACGCACACAAATATTATACTCACGTCTTCTATACCCTGTTTTTTAACCAGGAGGAGTAAAAAAAAAGACAGATTCACACCCAAGAAAGTTACTAGAAAGGTCACCAAATACATCTTCTTTTTTTGTTGATTATCTCGGCCTTGCGGTAATCGAGTAATCAATATCGGACAACCTTACACGAGAGATACTCTCTTACATATCTCTGCTTAGTGCTTACACGTCAATTCTGACCTAACTTTGTTTCTTTATGTTTGAATAATATTTTTTCAATTTACTTCCAATATATATTATAATTATTAAAATAAAAAAAGAACGCTTTTTACATTTGGTTCCATGTATATATATTTAAATATCGGGTGATCTAATTTTATAGATCTCTTGAGTCTATGGTATTTAATTATAATTTAGAGAATATTGTGACCCAGAGAGTCAATAATGTTACAGATCTAAGTATGTTTTTTCACAGAAAGTTGTCTTTTAATTTGCATATAGATCTTATATGCAATAAAGCTATGCAAATGCATGTATCAAAAAATTAGAGAGAGTTCAAAGATTTCTGAAATACTGTTCTTTTAACCTGCCTAGACCATATTCTTATTCTGGTGTGATCAATTTCTTGAATCTAGGTTTTTTTTTCTTATCAGAAGAGTTAACTTGGACTTTGATAATTATTTTTAAGTTTGATAATCCAATCTCCTGAATTGCTTTAGCCAATTTGTTTTACATATTCTTCATCGTTCACCAGAATTCACTTTTTCGTGTTTCCGATCACAGAATAAATTATGGTTCAAATATAAGGTGTGGTCCTACTTTTTTAGCATGGTAATCAGTTACCTCATTAGTTAGATTTGTTTAATTTACGTGTTAATATCTTTAGGTTCTATTTAAAGCACTAAAATGCAAAAATATACTTCGTGTGAATAAGTGTGTACTTGCAATTTCTTTAATGCTAGATTCTTGTTTAAGTTTGACAGTGAGTTTGTCTCATTTGTTATCAATAAATAAAATTAACTAAAATATACTGGATTTCTGTGAGATAATCAACAAATTCAATCTATGTTACATTGTAGAATAATTTTGCAGTTTTCTTGTGATGATCTACAACCAGAAAGAACAAAACCAACTGTATCAATACAATCAAACTAAAAAACAACAGTACTTTACGAATGTTCTTTTATTGTGATAAAAACAAAATGAAAATACTTCTTAACGAGTATACACTAAATTTAAAAGATAGTTGCCGTTTTTCTTATGATAATTAGATATAAATAACATACATTTATAAAATTATAAACACTTTAAACTATATTTAGTATAAATGTCATCTAGAAAAATATCACATTAAATACTATTCGCATACCAAAAAGTCTAAGTTATTACAAACAACTTAAAGAGTCAGAAATCGATTTTTATATTAGAAGAAAATAATATTCTGTGAATAATATATATTCGGAATGTATGTAAAAATACAAATTTAATAATTTAATGTTATTAGTCTTCCAAAATATCCTCTCCATTTATGTCTTGGTGAGGTTCATGAACAACTATACCATTTTGAATTTCTTCATTTAGGTTTTTAGTAAAAACTAAATCTATTTCAGATATTTGAGCAAGAAAGTTTTGTTTTTAGTCAGCCGAACAATGTATAAAACATTCTTTGAATAATTTCACCTAAAAAATAACTATGGTAAGACATTCATAATACAGACAATAAATCAATCATCCTATAAACAGTAAGATAATCAATCTATAGTTATGCTATGCAATATTTGCTGCAATGAATCTGCTTATATGTAAAGTAAAAAATATTTTTTTTTTCCTTTTCTTCCCTTTACATGTTCTTATATCTGTTGAACCAAAATACTTGACAACATTCTAGTAGAGTATACAATTAAAAACTTAAAATTTTTTTACCTTTAATAACTTACTGTATGTGATCATTACTTAGTATACTCCGCATCAAACATACTAAGTATAATATCTTTAAATGAGAACAGTGAAATGTAAGGACATGATAATGTAAATATTTGTACACTGGTATGTTTTCAAAAACATGTCACGCAAGGACTGTTGTACCTGTGTCTATAAATAGGAAAAATATTTTGATCAAACAAGAAGGGTGCAATTACAAACATTTCTCATGTAGCTCATAAATTTTAATTACAAAAACTATTTAGTAGTAACAATAATATAGCCGATTATAAAAATGAAAACTATAAAATGTTTTAGATAATTTTACTATATAATTGTAACTAACCTATTGTTACGAACATGCATTCAGCAGCTAACAGCATCTAAGTGGCCCGCCTAACGGTCGCATCTCGAAGCATCGAGAAGTGTCGGCTATATATCAAGCGCTGTAAAATTCCACCCGTCAACTAACGAATTAGAGGTGGGACTACTGCCGAATATTCTCGAACATAATACTTTGGTATATATATGTAACGATGTTAGGAGTAAGTTTAGTTGATAAGATAGTATCGAACTTTAAAGTTATAAATAAATATATTTATATAAATTCGAACCGCTCGTTTTATTTAAAAACGCTACAGTTGGTGTCACCGTGTGAGGACAATTGATTTATTTAAAAATAAATTTAACAGTAAAAAAAAGAGACTTTTGAACTTTTAAAAAGTATTGTTCGTCGGAAATATCCGCGTAGTTCGGTAGTGATCGTTGTACGAAGGAACATTTTAAAAGCACGTGTGTGCCTGATCAAAAATGCTGCTAG